TCGATTCGAATAGATTGCTTTGGATGTTTGCTAAATCACGATGAAAGGAATGGTTCAACAGCACACGAATTAAATAGAGTGTATCGAATAATTTGTTGAAAGTCATTTCGAATAGATGTCTATGGCTCATTGAAAGTATCCAAAGAATGATCCGTGAAAAATATTTATGATTTGACTGCCGACCTGGTCTTTATTTTTAAGACTCTATTTAAAATTCTTCAAATTTACAACGATAAAATACCTTGTGCAGCAGTGTTGCTAATACACAGAACTGAAACCTGCGTGAGCTTTAAATTTATAGGGCGTTCATAAATTCATGGTGAGCGTTTTGCACGTAGGTAGTTCCCGACGAAATAAACAGAAAATGGATAACGTCAGAGTCGAGTCAACCGTGGCAGGAAGTATATTCGGTAGTATTTACAAAACCACTGTGACGTGCCTGTTTAATTGATGTTGAAGTTACCCACACTTTTAAATTGGTCTTTAATAATCCAAAGCTTCAAAATCGGTAGTTAATATTAGGCAAAGCAGCAATCATCCATTTTATATGTATATTATTATATTTATATGCCATGAAACATTATATTCTGCAAAGAATTACACAATCTTTATAATATTAGCAACATTTATATAAACCCTCAGAATTGATACTTTTTAAAAACAGTAGTAGCAATCGTCCATTTTATATGTATATTATTATTTTTATATGCCACGTATGGAAACATTATATTCTACAAATAATTACACAATCTTTATAATTTTGGTATTTATTTTAACTCAGTTGTAGCAATCATCCATTTTATATGTATATTATTATTTTTATATGCCATGAAACATTATATTTTGCAAAGAATTATACAATCTTTATAATTTTAGCAACATTTATATTAACCCTCAGAATTGATACTTTTTAAAAACAGTAGTAGCAATCGTCCATTTTATATGTATATTATTATTTTTATATGCCATGTATGGAAATATTATATTCTACAAATAATTAAACAATCTTTATAATTTTAGTATTTATTTTAACCCAGTTGTAGCAATCATCTATTTTAAATGTATATTATTATATTTATATGCCATGAAACATTATATTCTGCAAAGAATTACACAATCTTTATAATATTAGCAACATTTATATAAACCCTCAGAATTGATACTTTTTAAAAACAGTAGTAGCAATCGTCCATTTTATATGTATATTATTATTTTTATATGCCACGTATGGAAACATTATATTCTACAAATAATTACACAATCTTTATAATTTTTGTATTTATTTTAACTCAGTTGTAGCAATCATCCATTTTATATGTATATTATTATATTTATATGCCATGAAACATTATATTCTGCAAAGAATTACACAATCTTTATAATATTAGCAACATTTATATTAACCCTCAGAATTGATACTTTTTAAAAACAGTAGTAGCAATCGTCCATTTTATATGTATATTATTATTTTTATATGCCATGTATGGAAATATTATATTCTACAAATAATTAAACAATCTTTATAATTTTAGTATTTATTTTAACCCTCGGAATTGATACTTTTTAAAAACAAAATTCTAAATAAATGTCTGTTCTTTATATCGTTGATAACGCGCGAGAATATGATTTTGAGCAATTTATTTCTCGCGAAAATGAATCTACGTTAATGCTGCTTTTATTTCGACGAATGTTACGCGTGCCCTGTATCTTCCTCCGACCAGAAAGGAACATGAATGACGTATTTAATAACCCCAGCTCATCCGCGCGAGTCAAATCCTCGCGTATATGTCGTCGCTAATGCTTCCGGGGCAGAAATCGATGCCTCGTTTTCGACTTTAAGATCGTTCGAAGCCTGCAAAAGCAGAAAAACCAAACGAAGATTAACGACGACTGCAACAGTGTAACCGGATGATACCCGATGAAAAGTGTAGCGAGTGTCGGTGTTTCCTCTAAAAATAATTACACGGCCAAGTAGTCGATCGTGGCGTCTTGAAAAGCCATCCGGGCCACAGACTACGTACAAGTGCGTCTATTTTTAAGGGATTGAAGGGTGCCCCGGATTACACGTAAGTATGTAAACAACGCGACAGGAGAAGCCTCGGATCTTGCATGATCCGATACCTTTAGGAGAACCTATGACTGCCAGAGATCTGGCATTACACGTTCAACCGTCCATTATTTGTGTCATCGTGGGTCTGACAAACAATTAAGTAACCAGAGACCACGTTAACGCGTTCACTGCCAAACCGATTTCGTAACATCTGGGCGTCCAGGTATTTTAAAATTTCCACTTCTATCCCGATTACTCGACTATTCTTGATTTCTTAAAATTAATCATTTTTTCGTTAAGCAGACCTTTGAAATTATCACACACCTTTGAAATTTAAAAAAATTGAAATTCAATTCAAAACAGGATTAATATACAGTGTGTTCGACCACCTCTGGAAAAAATTTTAATGGGAGATTCTACTGACTAAAATAAGACGAAAATCAAGAATCCCAATTTTTTGATGGAGGCTTCGTTAAAAAGTTATTAACGTTTAAAGTCCCGCCTGTAGAACGGCAATCTGCGAATAGCTGCGTTCGCGCGATAGTGGTTCTCACTCACAAAGCTGTAAGGCTGTCGATGAGTCAGTAAGTAGAGTTTCTCATGCTGGGTGAGAACCACTATCACGCGTACGCAGCTGTTCGCAGATTCCCGTTCTACAGGCGGAACTTCAAACGTTAATAACTTTTTAACGAAGCCTCCATCAAATAATTGGTATTCTTCATTTTCGTTTTATTTTGGCCTCTAGAATCTCCCATTAAAATTTTTCCCAGAAGTAGCCGAGCACCTTGTATATTTTTTGTCGTTCAATATACCATATAGATCTCTCTTTATATTTTTCTTTAATACCTAAAGATAACTCTAATTTAGGTATGTTAAATTAAAGCTATTTCTGTTGTATTTATAGGAATGAATTCGTAGTTAATCATTATAGTATAAATTTCTCTTGTTGTAAAGCGTTTCGAATGAACCAAGAAATGCATAAGTATGTAATCTTATGGTTCTCTTTTCGTAGATACGAAAGTATGGCACGATGATCATTTGTTTATACATGTGTTGCACTATCAAAATCGAAAACGGATTCCAGCTTTTAACGAGGTTCTCTTTTTTCCAGCTATGTTGACTAAACATTGTTCACTCGGTTCAGTGAATATCGTGTGCTCTGTAAATCCTGCACCTTTTTGGAATACTCTGTATACGATACTGGTTGTTGAAGTGTTCAAATGCTATATGCACTAGGGAGACCAAGAGACCGAAAATAATTTAAACCAAAGGGTTGAAACTTAGCCAACAAATACACAGAATAGAAATTCCAAAATTACTGTCTTTTTCTACTATTACTAACGATATAATATTATTTTTAAAAATCAATTTTATTAGTTTTCACGTATTACGTGGTATATTTTTGAAAATCTATTATTAAAGAATTTAAAGAAATGAAAATTTTTAACGTTTCGTTGGAATAGAATTTAAAAAGAAAAGATATCCAATACTGTTAATCTAGTAATTAATCTGGATTTGATCTTTGCATAGATCACACCTGTAGTCGAATATGTGCGCTATTTTCGATTCCACGTCAGTCGGTTGAATTGTCTTTAAATATTGATATACAAGCTTTAGTTCTATTTCCTTTCATGTTCTCGCGTATACGTTGAATTTATTATGTCACAGTTTTCCTGTCACGAAATAAAGTATTTCTTTATTGTTAGAAAGTCTGAAGGTGGCGCGTTTGTCGGTGAAACTATAGTTATTGTCAACATTATTGTCTTTATATTCATTATTAGAACTTACCTTTGTTTCGTACGATCGTTCGAATGCTCGACACGAATAGAAATATTCAACTGGAGAACCGGTAACGAGAATTCCTGTTCTCGAACACAAGCATTTCTTTATTGTTTTCCAGATAACGGTATTTTTTGTTGTTGTTCGATTATTATTAATCAGTTACCCCCCACTCGTATTCGTACATTGCAATGGTGATTCACTATAAATGAAGATAAACCTCTCTTATATGAATTTTTTTCATTTATCTTTATCAAATTTTGTTTAATATACTCTATGTTAACTTCTATTTACGAAGTAGTTCTGTTTTTAAATATTAACAGGACAAGGTAGTGTCAAATTATAAATTACAATTAACCTTTTAGATAAACAGAATTCAATCGAAATTAATTTAATATTGTAATCTTTGCAACATTATTTCTGTAGGTACATAATTCATATTATTAAGGGTAGATACTTATTAATTATCTAAAGTAGCTCTTTTTTGTTTTTTTTTAATATTAACGGGCAAGTAGTAATACCTAATTACAAACCCGATAGAGAAGTATTAATAATACAAACAGTAAAGAAAATCCAATTAATATTGTGTTTTTTTTTCCCCCAAGCGGTAACCCATCCTGCACTGCACGCGGCCCAATGAAGCTGCACTTTGGGATCGAATGGGAGCCAGTGTACCCAACGTGCCACGACCCTTAACTAGTTTTACTTTTAATTTAAACAAACATAAACTCTTAGATATCTCGATTGATGAATAAATAGGCAACACTTGATAACAAGCTTCTTTTCATTTATACCGAATCACCATAATGTACGAAACAAGTAGATTTTTTAAAATAATTCTATACGATTAAAATCGTTCCACAGAAAATTTTAACATAGCATTAGTCACCAATATGCTTTCGACGATTAATCGAGTTATCTGGCGAATTAACACGATATTCACGTAACAGTTAATCGTTGACGTGGAAATCAATTCACGCGAGATCCAGATATTATCTGTAATTCATTTTTGCATTACCGATAATATCGAGTGTAGGTATCATTTAATTTACCGGTATTCACCGACAAAATCTCTGACTCAATGCAAACATCTGCGCCAATCTGTTGCGGGAACGGCTTACCGTGTCGATCGTACAGAGAAAAGTGAATCCCCCTGGGTGAAAGTACTTACCCTCCTCGGCTGGCAACTCTGCAACAGAAAAAGGAACAACGAATGAACGATCGTTCGATCGCAAAATGCATCGATGGTACGCGTGGAAACTTGGCTCGTAGGTGCGTTCTCGACAACTTTGGCCGACGGTATCTCCTTTAACTTGGCCTACTTCGAATTGCTCGGAGCGTCGCGACGCGCCGACATCGAAAACAATGATTTTCCTCGTCGATAATAAACGCCCTTACATCCCGGTGACGGCTCATCGACGCGTCCCGTGACAGCGGGGTGGAAAAAAAAAAAGTGGGCCGCGGAGGAAAACCGGGCGTTGGGAAGGGAAAAAGAATGTACATGAAACTCGCCTGGCGCGATTTCAGCGTTTCTCGGCGGACTCGCGTTGAATGCACGGGGGCTGATGCATCCGATCGTGCACTCGCTGCGTTTGACATAATCCGGGGGAATGTGCAAGGCACTCCGGTGTCCGTTGAGCTTGGAAAATGTAGGAAAACAGGTTGGCGTTTCCGATTCGTGCGTAATTTATGCTACGGTATTTAGTATATATGGATAAAAGGAAATACTTTTCTGGGGGGAAACAACAGAGCAACGTTTATATTTTTTAATTACGAGGATGAGTAAACGTTCTGATTCGGATAATATTAGAAAATTCACTCAACTTTCACATAACATTCTGTCCCAATAAGGTAAAAATCCAAACGTTCATATTGAAAAAACATTCTATTTACAAAGCAAGTTTGACTAGGAGCAAGTGTCCTGAATCAAGTAATATTAAAACGAAAATTGTTATATTTTTAGAATTTATTAGTCAGTGATTCATGCAAGATTTTTTAGTTGTAAAATACTATATCTGAATCATTATTTTGTCCCATTAAATTAAAAATTCAAAGGTTCGTATTGAAAAAACATTTTATTTGCAAAGCAAGTTTGACTAGGAGCAAGTGTCCTGAATCAAGTAATATTAAAACGAAAATTGTTATATTTTTAGAATTTATTAGTCAGCGATTCATGCAAGATTTTTTAGTTGTAAAATACTATATCTGAATCATTATTTTGTCCCATTAAATTAAAAATTCAAAGGTTCGTATTGAAAAAACATTTTATTTGCAAAGCAAGTTTGACTAGGAGCAAGTGTCCTGAATCAAGTAATATTAAAACGAAAATTGTTATATTTTTAGAATTTATTTGTCAGCGATTCATGCAAGATTTTTTAATTGTAAAATATTATATCTGAATCATTATTCTGTCCCATTAAATTAAAAATCCAAAGGTTCGTATTGAAAAAACATTTTATTTGCAAAGCAAGTTTGACTAGAAGCAAACGTTCTGATTCGGATAACATTAAAACAAGAATTGTTATATTTTAAAATTTATTAGTCAGCCTTTCATGGAAGATTTTTTAATTATTTATATCTCATTCTTTATTCTGTCCCATTAAATTAGAAATTTAAAGATTCGTATTGGAAAAACATCTTATTTACAAAGTAAGTTTGACTAAAAGGAAGCGTTCTGAGTCAGATAACATTAAAACGAAAATTGTTATGTTTTTAGAATTTATTAATAAGCGTTTCACAAGAGATTTTTTAATGTTAAAATATTATATATTAAATATATTAAACTGAATTTTTCTTCTATTCCATTAAATTAGAAATTTAAAGATTCGTATTGGAAAAAGATGTTATTTACAGAAAAAGTTTGACTATTGTATTGTTTTACAAACTTCAATATAAAATTCACATTACATATGTATATATAGTTTTACGAAAACTGGTCCACAAAACGAATAGATTCGTAGACTTCTACGAAAATATTTAAAAAAACACGACGATGTTATTTAGAAAATCGGTTTTATGTAATTTATGATGGAATTAACCGTAGCACGCAATTAACCGAGTTTAATAGTGCTGGAAACGCGGGCGGAAGGTGAAAATACGAAAGATACGTGAAAAACGGGTTCTGGAAGTAAACTGAAAGCAAACCTGATTTCCCGGCGCAATTTATGGTAGACCTAGGAGTATCGCTTTTTAAATTTCGCGGGAAATTTGTCTAAAAACGAAGTTACGGGACAAAGTAATTTTTATAGTAATACTATTTCAGCTCGCTGGTGGCTTCGAAATCATTTCTCCCGGACTGATAATCGTATTTGCAAATAGTCTATTTTCAAAGGCTTCGACGATCAGTTTCGCTGCACACAGACTGATCGTTACATGCATAATTTTGTTACCTGTACGCGATCTGTATAAACAAAGCTTTGTTTGTTACAGGAAAACGATTGAAATTTAAATTATAAGATATTACAAAATTAAAATATGATACAAGTTAATAGATACAACATAAACTACAGGAGAGCTACGAATACGTCAAGGATAAAATGTAAAATATCTCGCTCGCCATCGCTTTTACAAAGAAAATACACATAACGAAACTTTTTGCAAATTAAATGTGCAAACTTTCTTGTCCCATACAAATTTTTAATACGATCGATACAAACCGAGATATAAACTCCTAACAGAGGAGCAAAATCTTTTGTATTAAAAAGCGCCACAATGATCGTTGTTTTTAAATAATATTTATCTCGAACAATGTTAAATTGAGCAGCGAATTTTTCCCCGATTTCAACGAAGTCCTTAAGGCCTGGGGGAGAATTCTGTGGAAAAAAGGAAGCATTTCGAAACGAACGATACAAGTAACTCGTCGACCCACTTCGGCGTCGAGCTTCAAGAACCCTGAAGACGATTCATAGCCTCGAAAGCGTTTGCCCAGCGTTCTACGACGGGAACTTGCGCAAGTTTCTTCTATCGAAACATATCCAACCCATTAGCGTGTTCTATGAATTCCCTGATAGCACGCACGATGATCGCCAAAGGCTTAGAGTGTTCTAAAGTTATTCCGGACGCTCCTACGCGGAGTCGATCTCGCCGCTTTGGAATTCGAATTGAAATTCTATCGATAACGTTACTCCACTTCGTCTCTGATGCAACCATTTTATCACACGATTATCGCACAAAACATTTACAAACGAAAGATTCTATCGTCCATTTCCGTGGAAATTCAAACTTTGCCTCCATTTTGTGGCGAATTCCTCGGGAGGAGTCTCGAGGAACGAAATTTCGATACCTCGAATCCGTCGTAAATTGTACCAGAAAATCAGGTTCGTCTCAAGATCACTTTCAGAACCCGTTTTCCGGTGTCTTTTTCATTTTATCCGTCGCGGAAATTTTTGTTATTTCAATTTCATTTCACTGGTTGCTCGTAGGTCTTATTTATGGTTGTTGCAAACTGACTTTAGCTATAGCATTATTATTCTGTAAAATTATAAATATTGACGAAGATAATGTATAACATAAATATGACAGATTTTAATATTATCGTGGCTTCTTCCATTATTTTTCTTCGATGCTTACAATTTTAACTAACGAACAGATCTAATGAATATAATACAATCTTAATTTTTTTTTTTATGCCATTCTTCACTTATACTGAAAATACTCCAATATTTTTATTAAATTTAACATTATCGTGTCTGAAATAGAAACGTGCCAAACTGGTAAGTCAAAACGGAATTGGTAATAAAATTACTATCACGTGAACGTAAACTTTTACAGATGGAACGAATCGTTTTGCATAAACACATCAAAGCGTACATATTAATTTCATTCGCGAGTTTCACGGTGATTGGCACCCGAATTCGAGCGTTCCAATATTGGATTACTCGAACGCCTGGCGGTATTCACGCGCGCAAATAACGCTTCGCGGTTAATAACGCGGTTGGCTAACGCGTCTATACGTGTATTAATCACGGGGGACACCATCGCCGGATCCACGAGGCGAAAACGAGTTAATTAACCCGGAATTAATTCATTACTATCTTAGGAACCCGCAGTGGAAACACACTTCGAAGAGCGTCAGCCTTGATGAACCGTACGACAAACCTTGACCTAAATAAAATACAATTTTATCCGACTTTATTATATGTAGCGAGGTTAACCATGCACCTGTCGGAATCTCAACCACAATGAGAATACGTTAATCGTTTAATACGTCCCGTACTTGAATGCAAGTCTCCGGGTATAGGAAAAAGTTCGGCGACAATATTTTATTCGACGCGTTACTTCGATCGATTAAATTTTTGATCACCATCGCGCGTGAAATATTATTTAATGCAAAAACTATTTTACTCGAACTGATCTCTGCTTAATTTTCAATCTACTCGAAACAAGGTTCGAGTCAAAACCTTACATCGATAGATAGTGTAAACGAAGAAGACTCTGAAAGAAATAATTGGAGAAATTTTCTTCGGTCGAAAATAAAGTAATAGATGAGGTCAGGATTGTATAGATTAGAATATTCTTAGAAAAGATTTGAAATGTCGATCGAGCAGAGAATTAAAAGAATAAAAATGGTAGAAGTGATCGAGGCGGATGCGAGAGTGTCGGTCACCAGTGACCACCGTGTTAAGCAGAGTGGCATCGATCGCAACCACGCACACTAATACGTATACAGCATTGGATGGCACGCTTTCAGGAACAATGAGCCACCTCCGGGCGCTTTACGCGATCAGAAACAGCCGTGAAGAGCCACGAGGACGTGAAAAAAAAATCGAGTTTTCCCGTTGTTCGAGCGTCACGGTTGCAGATTAATCACGCGACGGTGAGTACGGCTGCAACGCGACCAGGGCCACAAAGTTGCGGCGCGCGCGGCGCATCGATGACACTGCATTCGAGATCGAGACGCTATTACGTGCAACGGAACATAATTCATAGCACTTAAACTAAAATTCTAATCGATATTGACCTGTGACATCCATCAATCGCGTGACGTTATGTTATTCGAAAATTCATTCATAAACATTTATTTAAGAGGATACTATGCATATTATTGGTTTACAAATTACAATTTTGACGCGTTTCACAACAATTGTCCAACGATCCATAATAATAAATTGAATTCATTTATAGAAAAATCCCGATTATCCGGCACACTCGGGACTGGGTCGGACTATACATATGAAGTGATAAAAACGA